ATAAAGTAGAAGGCAACAATTTCAGGTGTACCCTTCTCTGAATTTTACAAACTTGCATTGTCATATAAGCACCATCATAGTCAAAATTCCCTCACATCAGAAAGTTCCTTTGTGCCCCTTTGAGCCAGTCTCTCCCTCAACCCCCAGCCCTAGAAACCACCAGTCTGATTTCTGTCCCCACCATTTTGCCTTTTCTACAATGTGATATAAATGTCTATAGGCCTGTGCACCTAGCATCTTCCACTTACAATGAATGCCTTTGTGATTAGTCCATGTTGTACTCATCTGCCCTCTGGTTGCTGAATAGCATCCCATTTCTGGATACAGCAAAATTGTTTACCTCGAGTGGGAGCCATTTGAGGATTGTGAAAAGCTGCTACATACATTTGTTACAAGGTATTGAAAGGATATCTTCTTCCCTTCTCTTGAATAAATAAGTCTGAGAAGGATTTTGAATTATATGATCAATGCATGTCTAATTATATAAGAAACTTCCAAACTCTTTTTCCAATGTGATCATACCATGTGTAGATTGCAGCTGCTCTGTGTAGTGTCAGCACTAGATGCTGTCATTTTCTGTGACTTGAGCCACTTTAATTGCAATTCATGAGCTTTTGATCAAGGCTGAGCTACAAAATCCCAGCTATGTGTACCAGATTGAATAATGCCCTACCCCCAACTCCCGGTTCACCGTCATCTGAACCTTCAGAATATGATCATTTCTAGAAATGAGAATTTTGCAGATAAAACTAGCTAAATTTAGAGGTCATCCTGGATTAAAGTGGGTTCTAATTCTAATGACCGATTTCCTCATCAGAATGTCCTATGAAGACAGAGAGGCCCAGCTAAGAATACCATGTGTGTGGAGCTGTGCAGCGACAAGCCAAGGAATTGTCAGATGCCATGAGAATGAGATAAGACAAATAAGACTCTTTAGAGTCTCTGGAGAGAGTGTGGCTTTATCAAAAACTTAATTCCAGATTTCTAGTGTCCAAAAATATGAGAGAATACATTTCTGTTGGTGGAAGCCACCCAGTTCATGGTAGTTTGTTACAACGGTCCGTGGAAAAATTATAATATGAATAAAATGCACAGGATACAATACTAAAATGCTTAAATGGTTATATTTTGCTTATACAAAGCTTCCTGAGAATAAAAGCAGCAAAACTGTTGGTGTAAAAATGTAGTCCTAAATGGCATAAGTATATCATTTGCTGCCTAAATGACTAATATGCTTAGACTAAATCTTCAAATAATCTATAATTCAGCTTTTCACTAATTCAACTGATCTTCTGCTAATGGTTCCAAATTAAGGTCAATCCAGAACCAGAGTGACAATGTTTCCTAGCCTGTGGCTGTTGAGCATGTGATGTTCTGTCTGCATGGAGGTGTCATTGGTTTACAGCACCATAGATGATAGGGGTAACAGGTTCACACCTTCTCAGATGTATGCACCCACACCACACCTCCCCCTCAAAGCACACATAGTCCTTTGCCATAGACCATTGAGCCCCCTTCTTTGTTCCCACCTCTGTCTTTCCTCCCCCTCTAGTAGCCTCAATTCTGTAATCATATTTCTAAGCTTTTAGTTTAGTTTTGTCAGTTTCTTTGTTGTGTTTCCCTTTATTTCACATAAAAGTGGCGCCATCCAGTATTTGTCTTTTTCCTAGCTTTTTTTTTGGGACTGACATTTCTCATCACATGCTAGAAAGGATTAAAAGACAGATTTTTTTTTTTTGGCTTAGTTATTTGTGGTATAAAATATAATACATCCTATAGATTTTTTGAATTGTGAAATAATTTATTTTCCTTACCATAGGGTATACACTAGTTTTGAAAGCAAAACTTCTGTAGCAGATCCAGGCTTGATTATTTCATAAGAACAGATAATATATCAGCTTTAGCACAAGCCTTCTTCAGCTCCTGAGGAAGAAAATAATCTGGCTCTCAAACCCTTATTTTTGGGCAGGTGCAGGAACTCTCATTCCCACCCCAAAACCCAGAACAAAGTTGATTCTTTGGATACTCCACTATTTGGAAAAATATTACTAGCTCAACAGTGATTACATGATGTTGATAACATTAAATAAATAGCTACAGCTGATAACAGCTGTGATGTACACTGTCATAAGTTGCTAAGTGGTTATTGCAATGGACAAACATTGATGTACAGGCTAGTAGAATTGTGTAAGCAGGAGTGCCATGCTTTTACAATCATTTCTCTAACTACACTATTCAAATCAGACATTTTACCATTAGCAACATGAGTTGTATAAAATCCTACCAGGTGAATTTTAACACTTGGTAGCATTATAAGACGATCTGAACGTGTGTTTTGCTTTTGCTGCATCCCTCACAAGTCATTTTTGATGTTAGGTGCAGTGGTTAACAGCTGTACTCTGCCTTTTTTCACAAGGGTAGCTGGTGGATACAATCATACTTTCTATAAAGCATTTGCTCAACAAGGCAAAGCGTCAAAGGCAAAGGGTCATCTGAACAGAGTCAACAATGTTCAATGATGCAAATAAAAGGCCCATTTTCAATACTCCCACTCACTGATCAGCAGAAGTTATTCTTTGACTGCTTTGGGAGAACACAGGATTGGCTCATTTTGGAGAGATAGGTACTTACAATATTGTATCACCCTGTTTCACATTTGGGCAGTTTCAAAGGACAGGGCTTTGGGGACTTGGAGTAACTTGTACAACTTCAGCGTCACTGAGTCTGGCTAAACATAAAAGTCAGTCTCCTTCTTAATCCCTATTCCAATTTCGGAAAGTCAGTAACACAGGTTACTACAAATAAAAGGCCACCAAAGAGGGCTAGATGTGACTTGGGATAGAATGATACAACCAGCAGGAAGCCAATGGGATAGGGGTTATCCTTCTATGCGAAACTGAAAGAGAAAAAACTATGACCAAAATGTTTGTCTCATTTTATTAAATATCAACAGGAATGCTTCTGGTACACCATACAAGAAATGTGTGAACTCCAGACAAGAGCCAAAGTCATGGTTTCATCCTCAGTTTTATGGGCTAATTAAATATTAAAAAAGTTAAGTTTTCATCATCAAGCAGATATTATTGCCATTGCCAGGTAGTTTTGCTTTTATCTCAAGAATGCAAAAACATTATTCAAAGGGATATATGCACCCCCTATGTTCACTGCAGTGCTACTTACAATAGCCAAGCTAAAGAAACAACCTAAGTGCACAATAATAGAGGAGTGGATTAAGAAGATGTACATATATGTGTGGAATACTATTCAGTCATAAAAAGATGACCTCTTGCTGTTTATGACCCTGGAATGAACTAGAGGGGATTATGCTAAGTGAAAATAAGCCAGAAGGACAATAAACCCGAAAGACAAATACAGCATGGTTTCACTAATATGTACAACAGGAACAAAACAAAGAGATTAAAATACCTAAGCCACAACAAAGCCTACAAATGCAGAAGTGAGGCTGAGAGAGGGGAAGGGAAAGTGGATGTAGGAATGAAGGAAGAGGCCCAGTTATATGATAAAGGGATGTGGTTACTCCGGTGGTGTAAGCCTGATGGTTCATCTGAATAGGTGTGAACCGGTTTCCATAAAGCATATACAGTGCAGTAAAACAACATTAGTTCAATAATAATAAATAGATAAAAAGAAATTCTACCATGAAAAGACATGATTAAAGCCAGAAGCCTTACAAGTGCCAGGTGAAATTTAACTCCAGAGGCAATTATACACAAAAGATACTATCAAGGAGTTTTTACCAAAGTTTTCCACTCCCATATGATTTAAAATACAACCGCATAACTCAATCATTATTGAACTGTATTCACATCTGTGTGTCTTAAAGCTGTGATTTATATGATTTTAAAGAGGTGGGGATAATGGGGTTGAAACTTTACAGCAACATTTCTGTAAACTGTTAAAATTAAGTAGTATTTTAAAAAGTTTAAAATACAGTTAAGTTACAAATAAAATATTAGATCTGGTTATTTTGTAGAGGGACTGTTGGGTCCTTTGCCTGGACAGACCTCCCCACCTCCCCCACAGAATCATATGCACACTGTTGTGTGAAAACAAAGAATGAGCCATGGGTGCTGGAACAGAAAAACAGGAGGCAGGAAGTGTTCCTGCCTTGTGTTTGCTACCTTGTGTTCTTTGACCCCCATTTTATTGTCGCATGTTATTGATGCACTTGCTGAGAGCTTCCCCCTACCCCCAGCCCCAGGCTCCATGCTGAAGGGTATAAATAGGGAAGGAGAGAAAAATAAAGTGTGCCTTTGCTTGCTGACCAAGAAGTGTGTGCTTTAATCCTGACGTCCTTCGCTCAGACCATCTCTGCTGTCGTGCTGGCGCGGCAAGGGACAAACTTTTCAAGAGAATATATAGCTGGAATTAAATCCCTTAAGAACCCACTTCCTCCAGCATGAAAATCACATGGGCTATATAAAAAAAAAAATCTCTGAAAATTAATCCATTACAAAGCAGCAACAGAAGAACGAGCCACTGACAAACCAAAGACTTTTGGAAACAGAAATCAGACTGAAAGTTGGTAGCTCACTGCATTAAAAAAATCCAAGAAATGGAGTTTAAAGGCCAAGGTAACCTGCAGATACGTTTTCAGTCTCTCCCTGTGCAAATGACGGTGCTCTCGGGCCTGGCTTGTTTTAATTTGTGCATTCTTAGATACCACGTTGAGTATGCTGTGGATCCCTTGGAGACCTCATACTGCAAAAACCTGGACAGACATTGGGACTGTGGAGTTGCCCACATTAATCCTTCTAAACTAAAATTTTCTGAGTAGAATTGGTAACAGCAACTGATAAACACTAAAGAAAGTCTCACTATCCCACTGACATCCCCGGATGTTGACGAGTAGCTTTAGTGCAAAGGCTAGGATACCGCATCGCCCACTTGTGATGAAACACAGAAGACAAGAGAGCAGATGAGAGCTTAGAAGTGGTTTTCTGACAAAAACGATTGAAATTAGAGCATAGACACTACTGGGTCAAGTATTTTATTTCTCTGCGTTGCAGACGACAGCACAACTGCCCGTCTAGTAAAGACATACTGCAGGAAGATTTTGCGGCCAGGGCAAGTCTCAGCGAGCACAGGATCCAGAGATTTTCGCCTCCGAAAAGTTCGGCGCCTCCATCCCGCGCCCCTCTGGCCCTTTGCTTCCTCCCCTTCAGGCTGCACCGCCCGCGGGCTGCACCCGCCCTATTCCGCTGATCGACAGGCGGGTGCTGCTATTCCCAGCAGCCAGGCTTTCCACAGGCAACCCCAGCAGAGGTAATAGTTCTACGCGGCCAATGGGAGTCAAGAGGTGGGGCCTGCCGTGGGGCGGAGTTGCGGGTCAGGTGCTCTGCGTCTTGTTGGCGTGCAGGTGAGCGGCTGCGGGTTCAAGGGGCGCGCGTTGCTCCCGTTATCTCCCTTCCTTTGCACCGGGTCTCTAGAGGAAGCACCCTTCGGCCCCTCTTTCTATTGCCCCAAGCCGATGTGGACGCATCGGGTCGCTGTGTGGGTAAGAGTCCAGGGCCGCTTGCCTCCCGGGGATTCACCCGGGTCCCCCGAAATTGTCCTTTCCCTTTCCCGCTGCACTCACCCGCCTCCCTTTTTGTCTGCTTCTAGGTAAGAAGAGTAGGGAGAGGGGGAGAGGTAGGTTTGCAAATTGCGAACGGTACCGCTTAGCGAGCCGTCGTAGTGGCTAGGATGAAATGGTGGAAAGGATGGGGCGCTACATCCTCTTCTTTCGGGCGTTTATTAGCTCCACACATACCTACTTCGTTTTCCCTCTAAGTCGCCTTGGCGCGCCTGCCTAACAGATTTCTATGGCTGTCTGTCGGCGGAGGTTTGGAAGGGAGGAGGGGCTGGCAAACAGCCCAGTGAAATCTGGACCCAAAACTGGATTTCGCTGCTCTATGCAGCATTTGGGGTTTGTGGGAGTGGGGTGTGGGAAAGAAATCTAAGATTTCTTTCATCCCCACCTCCCACCTCTCTGTTCTCGCTTTATGTAATAGACATGATAATGTAGGTTCTTCTTGCCAAATATTCCTGAGCTTTAGACTACATTTGGTCATTATTATTATTATTATTATTTTGTCCTAGGAAAGCAGTTCTGTTCTGCTTTCCGCAGTTGGTGAAATAATTTACTAAGAGAGGTGAAATCAGGTGTTTGAAGTAGTGGATTGTCGTGGTCTGTTTTTGAGGTTTAAAATTATCTTCAGTACATTCAAATTAGGAAGTGGTCAAAAGCTGAATTCAAGAGCTTTCTTGGAACCTTGTAGTTAGAATTCAAGTTTTGATGGGTACATAAATATCTTTATGTAGGAATGGACTTGAAGAAAATAAATTTGCATCCCCAGTGGGAACTGACAATCTGGCCCAGATTGTCTCATCATTCTTCAAGAGAAATAAAAGCATTTTAGAAATATATGCAGATTAAGAAACAACAACTTTGGCCCAAAGATTATTTAACCAAGAAAAGTGCCTTTTTATATATAACAATAGTTAAGTTTGTTTTTTTTTTTAAATATTTATTTATTTATGTATGTATACAGAACTGGGGTACAAGCCAGAGGTGCAGGAGTAGTGAGAGGATTTACCAGAGACAGAGCAGGGAGCAGAACAGGCGGATGGACAAAAATCACTTCTGAGGGAAGCAGCGAGCAGGTCAGGAGAGGTCTGTAGTGACAAGTGGATCACCTGCAGGCTGGGAATCGAACTGCACTGAAGCGGCTTCAGGTAGCTTACAGTGTTGCATCCTCACCCATTGCGCCACTAGAGAGGGCCAACACAGTTAAGATTAAATGTTGACACATTTTAACATGAGGAAGATCAAATTGAACATCTAATTGTTCAGTTTAAAGGCAGCTATACTTTGATTACTAATAAATGAATGCAGATTACATTTTACAAATATATGATTGTCGCAAACTTTATGTCACCTCAAGAAACCCAACTTATCTATTTTCTCTTCTCTAGTGTCTTCTCTAATATGATGAGCCAAACATAAAACCTTTTGTTGGGTTTTCTTGCTTTTTAAGCACTGATGTTTCAGACCATAAGTCAGAAGTCTTGGTCAACTGAAAATATTTCTAAAAAGTTGCATGTAGATTGTATTTCACTTTGGAAATGATATTTGGAGAGCTTACTTAAATAGTCCCTTGAGGCCCTCCCTGGTGGTGCTGCTGGTTAAAGCACAGCACAAAGAAGCTTAAGCCACTTCCTCATGAGTTCGATCCCCACCTGCCCCAGAGGTGACCACATGGCCTGGCAGACCTCTCCTGACCCGCCCACTGCTCCCCTCAGCAGTGTGCTTCTTCGATCTGCCTGTTCTGCTACCCACTCTGTTCCTGGTGAATCCTCTCACCCTCCGCATTTCTGGCCGGTACCCCAGTTCTGTATGAATAAATAAATAAATCTTTAAAAAAAAAATAGTCCATTGAGGAATTTTTCATGACTTAAAAAGTAAAAAGTCTCTAAAATACAGCTAAACATTTTTATCATGCAGGTAGCCCCAGGTGTCTTCTTCAAGATGAAGTTATGCAACATAATCCTTCTAGGCTTTGATTTATAATATAATGGGAACTACTAAGCACCATCACTTTCAGCTTTGGGTAAAGTAAGGAATACAAAATTGTTGTCATTAACGTCTGTATGTTTTTTTATATAGATTATCTTCCAGTGAACTGATCAAGTACTTTGAAAATGACTTCAAAACTTCTCTGGTTGTCCTTCATACTTGCTGCATTAGCAGTTTCAATTACATTCTCTCTCCCACTGATCCAGCAGAAGGTTCTATTAGTTTCATTTGACGGATTCCGTTGGGATTACTTATATAGAGTTCCAACACCCCATTTTCATTATGTTATGAATTACGGTGTTCACGTACAGCAAGTTACTAATATTTTTATTACTAAGACTTATCCGAATCATTATACTTTGGTAACTGGCCTCTTTGCAGAAAATCATGGGATTGTTGCAAATGATATGTTTGATCCCATTCTGAACAAATCGTTCTCCTTGGATCACATGGATATATATGATTCTGAGTTTTGGGAAGAAGCAACACCGATATGGATCACAAATCAGAGGGCAGGACATTTCAGTGGTGCGGCCATGTGGCCTGGAGCAGATGTGAAAATCCATAAGAGCTTTCCTACTCACTACCTGCCTTACAATGAGTCTATCTCATTTGAGGATAGAGTTGCCAAAGTCATTGAGTGGTTTACATCCAAGGAGCCCATAAACCTTGGCCTTCTTTATTGGGAAGATCCTGATGACATGGGGCACCATTTGGGGCCTGACAGTCCACTCATGGGGCCTGTCATTTCTGATATTGACAACAAGTTAGGATATCTCATACAAATGCTGAAAAAGGCAAAGCTGTGGAACACACTGAACCTGATCATCACAAGTGATCATGGAATGACCCAGTGTTCTGAGGAAAGGGTAATAGAACTAGACCGGTATGTGGATAAAGACCTCTATACCCTGGTTGATCAATCTCCAGTAGCAGCCATCTTGCCAAAGGAAGGTGAGTATGACCACTGGCCTTGGGTTTAGGTCTGTATTTACCACTGTTACTGAGTGGTGAATCTTTTAAAGTGTGTTTGTTTGGGTCATGTTAATATTAGGGAATTTAATCCTTAGACTCCCAAAAGACAAAATTCTCTGAGAGTCTAATTTTGTTTTCCGTCAAATATTGAAATTGCTGCTTTATATTTATGGCAGCCAGTTACATCAATGATAAAATCTATAGCACCCTTTCTCAGAAAATTAGTGTTCTCAGAGAATTTGTGTGCATGTAGAGTGATTTCATAGAAGTCCCAAGACTTCTATAGATCCTTTGTTAGGAACTGCTGAATAGGGAATCACTTAGGCTATAGAAAGGAGGAGGAGTTAATCACTGTGAGGTTTATTTTTCTAATTTATAAGGAGAATTAAATTAATTTTAATTCATAAGTAGTAACAATTCATAAGTAGTACCTTGAATTTTTCACAAAGCTTGAACCTTATCAATTAGGTTTTTTTTTTTTGCTAAATAGGCAAATAAGTTCAATAGGTTTAACATCCCCAGATTACAAAGTAAGTGCAGAGCAAGAGTCAGGCCTACTGTTCTGACTTCTATTTTAATCACCTCCTAGAGTTGGTTGGGTGTTATACAAGACAGTAGATTTTGAAAGCTGGAATATAACTCATGAGTTACATCCCTCATGGGAGAATTAAAAGCACCTCTGAAACAATCAGAGTTAAAATATGCATGTGGGCCTGCACCACTCTTCAGCATCTTCAACAAAAAATAGCAAGTTTTTGTTGTTGCTGAACAAAACCACATTAACCAGTCAGCTTTCCTTTAAGATTGGAATGGTGTTCCCTTCCTGAGGAGTGGGAGGCAGGGAGGACAAATGAAATTTGAAAAATGAAAAAAGAATTAAAGATAATTCCTGTCTACTGCATTTGAAGTGACAGAGGAGACTTTTGTTACACACATCCAGGGCTTTAAACTTCCATTTTATAAGCTGCTGTTCATCTCTAGTTTGTCCTTTCCCAATCCTCACCCTTCCACTACTGTATTTTCTCCTGTAGAAATACTCCACTCTGTTCTCTTAACTGCTAGAATTTAGCTTTGTTTACAATGCACTGGACATTTTACTTAGTGCCACTAATTTTTTTATTTTTTAAAAAATTTTATTAATTTTTGCATACAAGAACTGGGGCATAGGCCAGAGGTGCAGGGGGTGAGAGGATTCACTAGAGACAAGAGAGGGGAGCAGAACAAGCAGATCTACTGAAATACACTGCTGAGGAGAGCAGTGGGCAAGACAGGAGAGGTTTCCTGTGCCATATGCGGATCACCTCTGGGGCCTGAGATCAAACTCAGGCCACAGAAGTGATAACACTAGACTTAACTCTTAGATCAGGAGGGTAGGCCCTTAATGCCACTAATTTATGCTTGTTTTGAGTTTTTAAATTAGAGATTAGTGAATTCAAGCTTGGTAAAATGTCCCCATTTTTTCCCCCTCAAACTCCTATCCTGAAAGGGAATGAATGTTGAAGTGTCTGACTGTATTTATTGTGTTCAGCTGAGGTTTGATCTCAGTAAGGGGTCTTTCTCTTTTTTTATTTTTCTCTTTTTGTAAAGATTTATTTATTTGTACATACAGAACTGGGGTACAGGCCAGAGGCGCAGGGGCAGCGAGAGGCTTCACCAGAGACAGAGTGGGGAGCAGAACAGGCAGATCTGCGAAGTACACTGCTGAGGGGAGCAGCAGGCGGGTCAGGAGAGGTCTGCCACGCCTTGCCACGCCTTGTGGTCACCTCCGGGGCAGGCAACGCCGCGGAAGTGGCTTTAGCTTCTTAGTGCTGTGCTTTAACCCACTGCACCACCAGGGAGGGCCAGTAAGGGGTCTTTCTTAAGGGAATCAAGAAAGAAAGACTAGTTCACTTACTTGCCTCTAATAGTTTATTTGTAGCAGTGAGCTTTTTGTTCTGAATTGTCTCCCTTTCTTCTTTCTAGGTAAATTTAATGAAGTCTATGAAGCACTAGCTCATGCTCACCCCAATCTTACTGTTTACAAAAAAGAAGACATTCCAGAAAGATGGCATTACAAATACAACAGTCGGATTCAACCAATCATAGCAGTGGCTGATGAAGGGTGGTATATTTTACAGAATAAGTCAGAGAACTTTTTGTGTAAGTAGCACAATCTATTTCTTCCTCTTCTGTGGTGTTTGCTAAAGTGGAGGCTCTGGGCAGCTGTTTCTGGACTGATTGAGGAACTTGTGTCCTATATTAATAGCAAAAGAAAGGTCCTTGGGCTTTATAAAGAGGTAACCTCCTAAAAGTGAAACATTTACTTCTTGAAGTCATCAGACCAAGGATATGCACAGTGATATATATAGATACAGTTAATGATAATCATCAAGCTAAGAAAAACTGAATTTTTTTCTGAAACTGAAATTTATACATTGAATTATCTTCTGCCTGTTTTATAAGAAGTTAAGGTCTACTTTTATGTGCAATTGTTAGCTTTCTTGCTTCTTTTTGTCCTCAACCAAATATGGGCCAGCTTTGCTTTACACCTTGGAAACACTGGTTTACCTTGGAAATATTCCTAAAAGGAAGTGAGTGCGTATGTTATAGATAAGATATAAAGGCATATTTTTCTGATAGCTTGGTGAGTTCATTTTATTTCCACCAAATAAATGTAGATTATAATGGAAATGGTGTTTGAAATACAAACATGCCAAGTAGGCACTTTCTGGGGTCTTTAATGTATAATTTTCTCTGTTCATCTGGCTTTTAGCAAGTTCATCAAAAGGAAGTCATCTGTGGCATTTTACTCACCTATATTATTCCCTTCATTTGCATATTAGCCCCCAAACTCCCCAGCCTTTTCTTGTTTGTCTGGCTAGTGACTGACCGCTTAAGACTAAATGTCCCCAACACCTGATTTCTGGTTAGGTTTGGTTAGTACAAACCCTGGCAAGAGTGTGGGAGAAGCCAGGGTGTTCGTTCCCCACTCCCTCTGCCTCAGACCCTATCTGCAATATGGCGTCATTTTCTCTGTGGTCCAGGCTCCCCCAAAGACTTCTCTTTCACAGACCTCAGCTTCTACAAGGTAGTCTCGAACTCTGGTAACCTCATCTCTTCCTCAGGGCCGTTTGGAAGCTTGCCCCGATAACCTCACTATCTCATGTTTGCCCCCCAGTACTTTTATCTGTAGCCTACCTAGCATGGATTCTGCTTTCCTGGATGATGAACCTATGAATTCTCAGCACCAACCTGACCTGGGAGTCTTTCATGTTGTTAACTTGTGTGGTAACCAATCAAATTTTTTCATTTTTAAAGAAAAAAGGCTATTATAGACTTCCTTTCTTGATATACACAAGAGACATTCAAAATGGCTGTTTACTGTCTTCATCACATTTATTGATGAAAAGAAAAGTAGTTTGCTTGATGATAGTTATTGGAGGATATCAGTGAGTCTAAGTGGCAGACATGGTTTCTGGTTATTAAAACAGCCTTTACCTGCAGATTATGTTCTGTAAGCCACAGGAGAACTCTAAAAAGGTCTTTAAAAATCATTTCTTTAGCAATTCTAGTAGAAGAATTGCTACTTCCGTATGTTGTGTGACACAGGTAGCTTTTATGTGAGAAGGATGGCTCAAAAAGCTGGTAGCTCTGGGAGATTTGTACTTTAAAGTCAACAAAAATTTAAGGGCCTCTTGAAATTTTGACTTGGTTAACTAGAATTATATAAGTTGGTCATCACACCTGCTTTTGCTTGAAACCCTTAATGGTCCCTAATAGGTTACATAATATTCACTTATTCAATATATACTGACCAATATATATTGGTCAGTATATATTGACCACTACAATCATTCTCAGTCACTTGGCTGAGTTCTACAAGAGAATTAACTTTTCATGTGCTAAAGCAGTGGTTTTACAAATGTGTTCCCATTATCTGCATATTACCTGAAAACCTGTTAGAAATGCAAATTCCTGACCTAAAGAACTAGAAACTGAGGGTAGAGCCCAGCAGTCTGTTTTTATCTGCTCCCTAGGAATCTCATTCCCACTAAGAAGGGTCTGTTCTTAACCTTCAGAGAAATTTATTTAGGATTTTTTTTTTTTTCATTTTTAAAAAGTTTACGCCAAACTAGAGTTTGAGAACTCCTCAAATTAGGTGTTCCTTGTATTGTCTCCTGGAGCCTTTATAGCAGAAATATACCAAACAAAGTTCTGCTTTAGAGGAAAGCTTTTCTAAGTTAGTGATTTTATTTCAAGTTTTATTTTCTGATGAGAAGTGAATTATTTTTGCCTCTTGAGGCTTGCTCCCAGCTTCTCATAGAATTGAACACAGCCAATTACAGGTGATGTAGTTACCACTTGATAAAATGGGACGGGACAGAACTCTATCAGAGGAATTTCATAAATTAGTATTCATTTTACTTAAACTCAAAAGAATCAGGGCATTTAGAAAGACTTCTTTCATTAGATGGATCTGGCACTTTTAGAATTACTTTGAGAAGATGAGTAGGTCAGTTCTTCAGAGAAATTTATTTAGGATATTTTTTTCTTTTTTAAGGATTTATTTTTATTTGTGCATACAAGAACTGGGGTATAGGCCAGAGGTGGAAAGGAAGAGGTGTGAGAGGATTCACTAGAGACAGAGTGGGGATAGAAGAGGGGGATCCACTGAAACAGACTGCTGAGGGATGCAGCTGGCCTGACAGGAGAGGTCTGCTGTGCTCATAGGTCAGCTCCCTGGCTTAAGTGACTGGTGATAGTTTAATAGCGCTAAGACTTTAACCCCTGCACCGCCATGGAGGCCCAGGATTATTTTTTTCTCAATAGTGCATTTTTCCCTTGCTGTTTCCCTAGCAAATACTTTAAAATGAAACCTGTTGGTGTTTCCTTAGTTTGCTATCTTGTTGGCTGTAGTGGCTGTGCCAAACACCCGGATACGACTTTGAAATGCAACTTCTATGCAGAAGTGTTCATCCTTCAAATTTGTATCAGGTGATAGTCAGAAGTCTCCAAGAATTTTTATAATATTTGTAGCTACATTAAAGCTTCTGAGCAACTTAACTTAGCTCTGGGTCCTGATCTGAACCACCAAAGTAAAGATTCACCCACAGTCTTGCTCTTTGTCCTGAGTGGTAGCCCTAACTGGAGGTTTGCTTTCTCTGGTGTCTCCCCAAGATCTTTATTGTTCCCCCATAGTGAATTTATTGTCTTCATGACAAAGAGCACCTTAGTCCCTTTGTAAATATGATTTGTACATAGCAGGTAGTTAACAAATATTTGCTGAATATTAGTTTACCTGCCACCAAAAAAATCACTTTCATCTTCCTTTCATGTCACTGAACTTTGTACTTTATCCTTCCTTCTCTGTGTTTTTGGAGTGAACTATGATGTTAATGTTTTGTCCAGACTTCTGTGACCGGCGGCAAGGAAGAAAGACGGGAGGCAGAAAGGCTGAGCAAGTAGAGTTTATTGCTCTAGCAACAGTGGAAACAGAGCCCCTAAGGATGGGGTCTGCAGCCACTGCCAGTGCTATAGGGGAAAAGGGTCTCTTATATAGATTCTAGGTTCATATTCCAAAGGGGTGACTCTTCGCTGTGCCCCCGATGCGAGGCCCAGTCAGTCCCACCAGTATCTCCGGATGCTAAGCCCAGTTTATTATTGCCCTAGTCCTATCGGTAGCTGTGTTATCACAGCACCTGGTCGCCCCCAACAGTTAACAACAGCAGTTTGCTTACACAACATTATTTTAAAAGATGAAATCGGCACACATTTGCATATAAGCTTATAATTTAGCCACAGTTATTTCCATTTTAATGCTCACTGGTTAGTTAACTTAATCACATTATTTTCTCTTTACAGTAGGCAACCATGGTTATGATAATGCATTAGCAGAAATGCACCCAATATTTTTAGCCCATGGTCCTGCCTTCCGAAAGAATTTCACTAAAGCAGCAATGAACTCCACGGACCTGTACCCTCTGCTGTGCCACCTCCTCAACATCACTGCCATGCCACACAATGGATCCCTCAGGAATGTCCAGGATCTGCTCAGTTCAACAACTCCGGAAGCCACCCCTTACACGCAGAGTACAACTCCTCTCTATGGTGATGGCCACCCAAGAGAACATGAGCATGAGGAATCATATGCTTATTTTATAGGGATCTCTCTTGGTAGCATTATAGTTATTGTATTTTTTATAATCTCCATTAAACATTTAGTTCGCAGTCAGATACCTGCCTTGCCAGATATACAGCCTGAAATAGTTCAACCGTTATTACAAGCCTAATGCTACTTTGAAGTGGAAATTGCATCATTATGTCAGTGTTTAAGGTTTCAGAGGAAACCTGTTTCAGACATTTGCACGAACCGCTAAGCAGTTACCTACATGTTCAAGCACAGACACACACACAGATTGGCCCATATACACGTGCCTGTAAAGGATTAAATCTGTGGAGGTATGTTTCCATTGTTCTTTCTAGCCTAGAGGTAGATAAGATCCTACTTTATTGGAACTTGGCACATGGAATGTATGTAATTAGCAATTTTGCACTATTTAAAGTACTTTATATATTGCACTTTAAATTGCTCTCCTAATGGGTACCCTTCTTCTGTGAAATGCACTTTATTGACAACTAGGTCTTATAACTCAGTTGAAGGACTTTTTGCAGCCACATCACAGAATGTTTGTTACTCATTGTTTGAACAGAATGAAGTTTCCAATTCCCGAATAATGCAGAAATCTATCTCCGTAAATTGGAGGTGCTAAATGTGAAAACTATTGAAAATTCAGTGTACATTTATACATTGAATTTTGGAGAGATACATTCCCAATGGTGGGAGTCATTTGTGGGCATTCCCTAATGACATGGGTTTTCATTTTATTTTCCCCCTAAAAAAAAGTTTCAAATACTTGACAGATTCTTGCTAAGTGTACTGTTTCTGTCATTAGAATCATTATTTCTCTTTCCTGGTTGGTTTTTTTTACTCTGGTTTTTCTAAAAGGCACCAGGGATGTAATTTCTGTTCTATGTAGCTTAGCACTAGCTTGATGGAGCTATCAGGCATTACCGCAGAATGTTTTCTCTAGTTCTGTAATTACTTCCTTGAAAACTTAACCAATTTTAACCACATTAAAAAAATAGATAGAGCAGTGTTTTCTTTCTAGTAACAAAGCACAAATGTCTTTTATGTCTGAGCATCTTAAAATCCAGAGTTGCAAAAACCCAAACTTGATTTGGTAAAATGTAGGCAACACGGTCAATGGAAAGGCTGGAACTTGGGGACAAAAGTTAGTTAGGGGCACACTTGAGTTGTTCACACTGTACTCAGAGCAGTGCTGACAGCAAAAACTAGCAAAATAACTCTTGGAGAAATAACAGGTACTGAAATGAGAGGAGCTGAGATGATAGCCTTGCTTCATGACATATTTAAATACCCACCACCAGGTGCTCATCGGGATCAAAGATTAATCCAAGTTCACAAATAGACCTCTACCTCCTGGGGAGTAATTTTGTTCAGAATAAGACTTTTCCTCTGGCTAGCACCATCAAGCTGGTGCTACACTACATACTTTCAGTGGTTATTCAAAGTCATTTCAGCTTCTCCCATTGCTACCCTCCCAAAGCTGTGCTCCATCTCCAATTAGTCTAGTTACGGGGGATTAGAATTTCTATGACATCTTAGAGGGAAGAGGAAGCAGTCCTGGAAACCATAGTGTTTCTTGGAATTAAAAGCAACTTTATAGACTCTTGACCCATGTGATTTTGTCTATATTTTGCACTACTGGGCTAATAACTAGGTAGAATGGTATATATATATATATATATATAGTTCAGAAAGCAGGGTTAGCTTAGACATCATCAGAAATGGCATAATGAAAGATATAACTTTGCTTACTAAAATAAGGTGAAATTTTTTAATGAAGTTTTTAAAATAATCCAATGAAGAGTGTTAGCACTCATTCTCATTTTAATATACAACCTCTTAATAGGATAGAATGTAGGTTGGAAAGTTGAGAAGTTTGGTGGTGTATAGCAAACTCCTCAAGAAGTCTAATTCTAAATTAGACATTTTGGAATATGCAACCACTCATGTGGGCTTGCTTTATAGCTATGAATTTATCCTCACTGAAATATCTGTATATGACAGAAATATGAAACTTGTTTTATTGAAAAGTATGACTATTGAAATGCTATATGTATTTTTAAGCTAATTATTGCATTAAACTCCTTTTAGAAGGTGCAATTATCTTAAGTAAATTCTGTAACATTGCTGAAATCATTAAAATCCTGATATGAAGATTTGATTCTTGAAAGGCTTCTTTTATTTACAGATTCTTAATTTCCTGTAAACTATCAGCAGGAGAGAGAATAAAAATAAAACTTCCTTGGGAAAATCTATTCACTTACCATTCTCTGATAGTTTTTTATTTTTCTTTACCTGTATGTCTTCATAGTCAAGATATATGCATTGAATACAAATTAGCACATAGAAAATTTAGCTCATTTTACTAATGGTAAGAAAAAGTTTTTAAACATTAGAGATCTGGAGCTCCCCACATCTCACCATTTTGACTTGCCTCCTCCAGTAGCTATTTTGTACGACTAAGATTTTTCTTACTCATTGTATGAGTTGCAATTTTTAAAATATTTATTTATGCCTGCAATAACTGGGATACAGGCCATTGGTGCACTGTGTGAAAGGCGTCACCAGAGACAGAGTGGGGAGCAGAACAGCAGAATGACTAAAATGCACTGCTGAAGGGAGCAGCGGGTGAGCCGGAAGTTTGCTGTGCCACGTGGGTCATCTCCCTGGCCAGAGATTGAACTCCTGCTGTAGTGGCTGCAGAGCTTTTTAGTGATGCATCCCCTTGCTCCACCAGGGAGGGCCCCCTTCTACATATATTTTGTTAGTAGCCTTATTCCTAGATATGTCATAACTTTCTATAGCAATATGATAATCAGTTTTAAAATTTCAGCTTGCTTCCAGCTGATAACTAAAAATACTTCGTTTTTTGTTTTTATATCCTAAATTATGTTAAACTCATAGTGTTACCTGCAGATTGCTTTGGATTTTCTATGTATGTAATCATGTTATCTGTGAATATGACAAATTGAAAAAGAACTTCCTTAGAAATTTCATATAAAAAAATATTCTCTTCGGAGAACAATTCATTGTATAAATCAACAGTCCAGGGCTTTAGTTATAGGAACTCTCTTATAAAATGGGTTTTGTTTTTTTTTTTATAGTGGGGCTGTCTAGATTGGATTCAGGGTCAATCTCTACTGATCATCCTCAACTCTGTCTAAGAAAGTAAAGTATGGTAGATAATGAACAGGATTGCATCACTGGCATTTCAGATCTCAACACAGGAGGGAGGTCTGAACCAAAGACATTTCAAGCCGTCATGATGAAGCAGTCAGTAGATGAGCTCATGTGACAGTTTGATAGTGGAAATCAAATTTTAGGGCAAGGAGGTAGAAAGAGAGATGTAGTGAGTTAAACCACCTGCAGAGCAGTTTGGCTGTTCTTAATCTGATTAAGACTGTCTTTGCCTTCCAGATAATTTTGGAAATGAAATATAAGTTCCAAGACCTAGTGGTTTCACCATCAACCCTCTACACACATGCACCCACATGTACAAGTGCACATACATGATGTTTGTGTGTGTGTGTGTGTGTGAGCACAGTGGGTGTGAGTTAAAGGAGCTGGAAGACCAATCATACTATGCACAGTACCAAGAAGGTTGGGGTAGGGGGAAGGGTGAAGCTGGTATCCAAACTCCAGGAAGCAGAGTTTGAGAAATATTTCTAAATCCAAGGATACCAGTGAGCAAGAACTGAAACATGGGTGGACGTTGGTCATTTGTTGGCATAAAGTTTAACCACGTTTGAAATGTTACAGAATTCTCTTCTAAAGAAAGTACTTTTTATTCTTTTGCTTTCCCACAGTTCCTAGCAATATTCACTGAACATGAAAACAGGAAATAAATTTATCACTGCTCTACTAGAGGAAACTGTTGAATTTGTACTCAGTTTGCCATAACAATTAATACTTAGTTATATACAAAATAAAGTTTAATTACTATAATCACCACCTTATACCCAATGTCTTTATCATCAACTTTTTCAATTCTTCCTTTCTACTGTAATCCAATAAATTGTCATGTAGAAACTGCAAAATTCACCGTGGGTTTTTTTTCTAATGATGTCCTTAAGCTGGATTGCAGATTTCTATACTTTTAAAATCTTGGTTAAATGTTATACACTTAACCCCAAATATAGAAAATCTTTGTAACAAATGCCTACCTGTATTTTTGTAAGAAGTGAAAAATTTAAAAACCTGCAATGTCACTGAGGTCTTTATGAAATAACTACAGTGCAAATGTTTTGGTAATTTTTTTCACATATAATTTTTTAATCATAAAGTTATCAAGTATTCAAACAATATAGTCAAAATATATTTTACTTTAACTTAAGGCACTACATACCAATTTCTTTAAAGCACATTCACGTCATTTTATTTACATACTATTTTAAGAATTGACAATAAATACAAACTTTGTCTCATATTTGTCCTTCTTTTGTATTTTTATATATTCACAATGAAGTAAAGCCCTCCAATAAAACTTACCAGCTGTGGGCAAGGGAAGAGATACTCAAGAACAATACAAAGGCATGTTTAATCCTTTACTGTTCCAAGAATTTATCTTTAAATTCTCATTTCAAGCTCATTGGAATAATAACACAAAGCCTGTAATATACAGAATTAAAGCAATTTTTATTCTATTGCTGTTTAGAACACACATCAGTAACAACAAAACAGTTCCCATGTTAGAAGTAAATATACATATCCTGAATGCATTCTCTGAATTAAAAAATACTTAATAAAAGTATTTTCTATTTTCTTTGAGTATTGTTTCCATAAGTTGTGATGCTTTTCCATCACCCAAAAAACACAGCAGCGTGTCAGTTAGTTATTTAACAAAATACACACCAAACCTTAATAGGCAAAATTAGCTTTACTAAAAGGTTTTCTCAATGTGCTAGAAGACTCATAGCCTGGCAGAGTAATTTTTTAAAGATACAAAAGAAGGAACCCAGTTCCATTTATAATACATTGGTTTCTCATTGATTAAATAAATACTGCTTTGTCCTATCAACATATACATACAAAATTTACAATTTTAATTAGAGTTAGTATTTAGAGAATAAAATGAAGTACAAGACAAATAGTATTCAAAGGATTAAGACGCTGATGGCATTCCTTCCTATTCCACACTATTCTCTAAAGTCCCCTTAGGTTGGACACCATGTATAAATGTCTGAAACTCATAACCACATTCAAGCTAATATAATTATTGAAACTTACAGCACTGCAAGGAGCTTGCTCTTCTCCAGATTTCCTACTACTATTTTGGACACCTCAAAAAATGTCCATTGCTTTAAATGTGACTGTTAACGTTTTTATTTTTTTTTACTGGCAAATGAAGAAGAAACTACCAGCTTACTCAGATCAACTATTAACTTTTAGGATACCTTTTATGTGGGAGAAAAAAACGTTAGCATTAAAACCTGTCAAGAAGCAAAACTGGCCTTGGCCTATCAGTTTTATTTCTTTATTGGCTTAAACACAATCAATTTATGACCAATTGCATGGATTATTTATGCAGGCTGTGGAAATGCTTCTCACAAGCACCAAATACCAGTATCAGGAAATTAGCAGTGCCCAAGCAGAATGAATGACCTATTTGATGACTGGCCCCATTGTTCTTAACCATCACAAAGAATCAAGATTTAACTGGGCTGCATATTTTCTGCAGATGATTTTTGTATTTGCCAAATACTTACCTAATTTAGTTTATATTGTCAAACTTTAAGTTCACACTATTAATATTAATTGTTCTCCTCAGGTGCTAATGAGTGGTTCTTGAGCCCAATTTTCTCTCTATTAGATACACTCTAGACTGTCACAGTTCAGTTTCTTCATATTCTGGTTATTACAAGGTACCACCTAGCAAAGGTAGGATGACAGTTCCTCATGACAAATCCATGGCTCTTAACTAGTATGTTAAAAATGTGCTAGGGGAGTGATTATTTATATGAATCAAATATTGGAGAACAAAGGAGAAGCAGCATTTATACTACAAAATATTACCAAAATGGTAAAAGGTTATTCTGACACTTATCATATGAATAATGTAACAAATCCAAAGATACCAAATGATAAAGATACCATTTAAACATTTTTAATAACTCCATTGCTAGGAGAAGGCAGGCATAGGAGTTTGAAAGGCAAATATAAAAAAATCTCTTTTTCATTCTTATCCAGTCAAAACCAGATTTGTATTCAGACCATCAATTTTTTGGTAGCACTTGGATGCCTCTGGCTACATAAACAACATGAGAAAGTTTAAAATGGTAATAAAAATTACTATTTATTTAAAAATTGCAACTTTAATTTGTGATCTATAAGTAAACAAGATGAAGTGCCAATATAACCTATCCTGAGTGCCGTTCTATGGAATGTGGAAGCCTGCCTACTGCACAATTCACCTCAGATCTTATTTCATATAAAGTCCACTCAGACACACTACCCACACACACACGCACAACTGAAAACTTACACAAAAGCATAAGCACAAATAGAGAAAAGTACATTTTCCCATTTTCTTAATGTATTAGCAATAACTTAAGGGTCTTAACAAAGACACAATGGTGAAGATGCTGGCTTTGGATTACATAGTTTTTGTGTTTTTTATTATCGCTTTCCTCAAAAAATTTCTTTGTACGCTACATCTTTTCTGTTTGGCTAAAAGATTTTATTAACCACTACAAGTAGCCTCAAGTATTTTCTTGGGATATAAACCTTATTAAAGGTAAATATAAAAATATAGTAAAGGTTTCCTCCCTGATATATGAAATCCACTAATTGCATGAAGGTTTATATTGTTTTTCAGAAGTTATATAGGCATAAGAGCATGCCTATTTAATTTTGGTATATTTTCATCTAAAGACGTATTACACCTTCACACACACACACACACACACACACAAATCAAAAAACCACGAACCCAAAACTGGCAGGCAGTATTTTTCTCAAAAAACATTACTAGTTTGAGAAATAATTGGTACTAATGATTTACTAGAAATATTTACTGTAGACAGGATTACTTGTATTAAAATGCTGTGAAACCAAACACAAACACCATGAAAAAAATAATTTGAGCATGCTTGTGTAAGTTCTTCATCTTTCAAAGTATGCCATTTCATAATAATAACCCCTTTCTTTGGGAGTACCCTTGATTTCATGAATAATCAATGACACTTTGTATAAACCCCAGCATGTTACCCAATTAAAGGATCATCATCATCATCTTGTAGTTGAAGTCTGGAAAATGGACGGGGTACAGACAGTTTATTCTGCATGATTATTATGAGGCATGTTAAGGTGGTTAAGATCAATAGTGCACCAATAACAATTCCAATAGCTTCTGGGAGATTAATACACCACTGGTCAACTAGCAAACACTTGGTATGGCCAAAGGTTCCATTATTGGGATGTGGTTTTAATCCCAAGATGTGGCACATCATTGGATAAATATCCACAATGTTAATTGTGCTGTGTTTGTAGCCTTTATGAAATGCAGGACCACGAGCAGCTAGAAACGGATGCATATTAGGCAAAGAATTGTCATAACCATGGTCACCTACTGAAAAGAACAAAATGATGTTAGTAAATAAGATCAGCCTTTCTATTATAAAATAACTTTCTTCTACTGCAAATATACCACATTCTTGCTAGTGTAATCCCCATCCATTAACATTTTGATTAGTTGAATCAGTCGAGGCCCACATATAAAATCTCCATTTTCTTTAATACAGTAATGTCCCTATTTCACACACATCTCTTTCTTTTTCTTTTTTTTTTTTTAATTTTTAAAAGATCCATTTATTTTGGCCCTCCCTGGTGGCGCAGCGGGTTAAAGCACAGCACTGAGAAGCTGAAGCCACTTCCGCATGAGTTCAATTCCCACCTGCCCCGGAGGAGACCACATGGCGAGCCAGACCTCTCCTGACCCGCCCGCTGCTTCCTCAGCAGTGTACTTCGTCGATCTGCCTGTTCTGCTCCCCACTCTGTCTCTGGTGAAGCCTCTCACCGCCCCTGAGCTTCTGGCCTGTACCCCAGTTCTGTATGAATAAATAAATAAATCTTTAAAAAAAAAAAAGATCTATTTATTTATTCATACAGAGGTGCAGGGACAGTGAGAGGCTCCACTAGAGACAAAGCAGGGAGCAGATAGGCAGATCAACGAAGTACACTGCTGAGGGGTGCAGCGGGCGCGGGAGGATTGTTCTGCTGTGCCATCTGGGGCCCGGGATGGAATTCTCACTGAAACAGCTATGGTGAGCTTGCAGTGCTGCATCCTAACCTGTTACTCCACCAGGAAGGGCCCATACACACCTCTTTCACACTATTTCTCAACCTACTATTTTTTATTCAGAGCCCAACTTACTCCACCTGTCAATCTCCAGCACTGTTTGCAAAAGCACACTGCAAATAGCACAAGTGGTGAAAAGAGGCTAAGGGGAGAGCAAATGTAAGGAAAACCAGTGAATGGGAAATAAAACAAAAGCCTGAGAATTACCTATTTAAAAACTGAACTACTAATACAGAGTGAACACCCATAATCAAAGTACCCGGATAACAGGACCATTTACAATGTGTCACTAGAATGCAACAGATATATCCTAGTACTTACATTTTGGTAATGATTTATTTAGCACAATTGTCCAGCCTTCATCAGCAACCAAAATGATAGGTTGAATTCGATCATTATGTTGATAATGAAATCTGGCAGGAATATCTTCTTTGAAATAAACATTCATGTGAGGGTTACAAATTTTCAGTTTGTTATAAACCTCTGTTCTATCTGGATGAAAAAGGAAATAGCAAGACAAAAGAGGAAATGGCAAAGGAAGAAAGTCATGGTTCACTGATAAGGAAAAAATATTTCTAATTAGAATAACTGGAAATACATTCTAACCTGTGTCATCTATTAAATCACTTTAAATTCTTTTTTTTTTTTTTTTAAAGGGAGAAGTACTAGTTATGGACAGGGTTGGGAATGACTTCTCTCTCACACACACAAACACACATGTTTTTCAAGCAGTCACATATCCTTTTTCATTTGTGATTATTCTTGATGGACATTTATAAGGAAGGGACAAATTAGCTTCCTCAGTAAACATGAACTACTTATGTGGCGTGAACAAACATAATCAAAGTACCCCAGTATTAATTATTCATTCTAAGGTCAACAGAAAACAGGTATATCTCACACAAAAATCCAAGATGCTTTTTAAGTATAAAATTTTCCATTAAAAAGCAGAGAAATAATCAAAATACTCCAAAAAGCAAAGAAATAATCATTTTGAATCTAAGCCTTAGTCTACTTGCTTAAAGACATGTAACTTGGAGATAGGGAAACATATAATTCCACTCTGAGTGAATGGTCCTGAAATATACAAAGACCCAGAGCGTCATTCTTTTACAAAACCCTTCTTTCTCAATCAATTATCTCATTCAAGTATACCTTTGCTAAAAGTTAACTTACTTATTTTGGGAAGTATTGCAGCAACAGGGGTTGAATCTATAAGAGTGTAGTTTGAACGGTCAATGCAGAGATCCAAGTTTATCAATCTGTCCTTAGAACACTGGGTCATCCCATGGTCGCTTGTAATGATCACATTAAGATTTTCCCACAATCCTAATGTCTTCAGTCTGTAGACTAGGTCACCAATGAGGTCATCTATGCCTTTCAACACTCTGCGCATGTTCTCTTTATCTTCAGGCCCGAATTTGTGGCCACTTGCATCAGGTTCTTCCCAATACAGTGTTGCAAAGGTGACTGGTGGGTTTGAATTGCTCAGCCACTTGGTAACATTATTTAGTCTCTCCTCAAATGACACAGAAGAGTTGTAATTCATAAAATAAGAAGGTGTGATATTGTGAATGGGGACATCAGTGCCAGGCCACATAGCAGCAGCACTGGATCTGTTTTCCTGAAGCTGATTGGTCACCCAAATAGGGACTGCTTCATTCCACCAGAAAGGATCCTTGTCATCGTAGTCAGAAAAGTGTTTCTCTGTGATCGCATCATACATGGAATTAGCGACAATGCCATGGCTTTCTTCATACAAGCCCGTCACAATACTGTAGTGGTTTGGAAATGTTTTTGTGATAAAAACATTCTTAACATGCTCTACCAAAATACCTTCTTTGATAAAATTCTGGAGATGAGGAAATTCATAGTTCTGCAGGTAGTCAGCTCTGAAGCCATCAAAGGACACCAGTAGTAACTTGGGTGGTGAAAGGTAGGAAGAATTACCTCTACAATTAGTTGTAAGTCCAGAAAGTAAAAGTATTGCTAATAGCTTCATAATGAACTTCTTGAAGAGAGCAATTAGGGTTTCTAAAACATAAAAACACAATTTGTGAGAAGCAATGCTATTTGATTTAGATCAAGGTTCAGACTTTTGACACATTTATAAACTTTTTATAAATCAGTTTAGCTACATCAACCTAAAATCTAAGCAATGTCATTGATTGAAAGATAACTGAATAAAGTCAAAATTGGAAAAAAAATAAAACCACCTTTATTTGTTCAATTATATGAGGGGGTGTGTGTTTTACATCTGTATCCCATGCCTCCAGCTCTGAAGCACGCTGTTACTGTGATAGTTAACACAAGTACTCCAGTTTGGCTACCTGGTTTGCCTGCAGCTCCGGAAATTATTCTAAATATTAGCATAAAAAAAGGGGAGTAAGAAATAAAAGTTATTTGAAGAGAGGGTCCTACCTCAGTTTGCGCCTAACCGATGTTCAAATGAGGATGACTACTAAACAAAGTGTCCAAGGATTCAGATGCCACAGTAACTTCCAAAACCTTTTAAACTTTTCTTTACTATCAGACATAATTATTCTACCTAATCTGTCAGGCTCAGCGATCTTCTGATTTTTTTTTTTTTTTTTTGGTAATACACTGATTACAAAAATGGTTTCCCCCTAATAAACCTCTTGCCTCAGTCTCTTTGCTGGCTCCTAAGGATGGTTCTGCACACTTCAGATGGCAGGTTACCTTTTCCATTATGACAGAAGAGAAGAAGCAAATGCTACCAAGTAGATAAGCTAACAGCTTTTGGAGTAGAGGTTCTGATGAAGGTAAAAATCAGTGTTTTAAAGTAACTTGCAGTAAAAGTTGCAACGATGTAGATTTTGGTTAGAGTGAGATGGAGAAATTAATTATTTCAAAGTAATTAGACTCAAGGTATGGCCACATGTGTATATGCTGGAAGATGCCAAATTCAGGAGTCATTTATTGTACTTTTTCCTCCTAACTAGACTGCAGTTACTGTTTCTTTTAAATACACCACCTAGGTGATATGCACATGCATAGTGATTCAAATACTTTCTAGATGAAGCTGCGGCCTTAGGGCCTCAACATTTTGAAGACAAAAGAATCGGAATCTAGTTGGATTTTTGGTCTGGGAAATGTCTATCTTTTTAACCTGTTTGGGCTGCTTTCTGAACGGCATGATCTGTTGCTGGTGCCATCCAAGAAACCAAAGCAACACAGAGCAACAAAAGCAAGCCAGTTTTCAAAGCAAAGAGTAACAACTCTAATTAGTGCAAGAGACATACTGCACAGACACAGTCATTTCAGTAATTTTAGGTGTCAACAATCTAGACAGTAGCACCTCCTGTTTCATTCAGTCTTTTACATCTCTGACCACATATTTATGCAAAGATCATCTCCTACTTTGTCAGTCATAACTGGACTCAGTCAGACCACAATATTATGGAGGCTGCTGCCTTCTACTCAACCAGCCTAAATACCTGTAAAGGATTGAATAGATGCCCTAATTTCTCTGCATATAGCTACTTTCCCATATTCAAATATTGGTTTCTAATAACACAGCAGACCAAACCAGCAATTAGGTGGCATAGTACTTTAAAGATGTTGATGACTAGTTTATTTGGATTTCTTTGTTTCACTGGCTCTTCCCATTTCATGTTCCCAACCAATATGACTGCACAAGTCAATCTGCTGGTGAGATTCCTATTTGTTATGTGTCAAGCCAAAAGCATTCCCTATACCTCCAAATTTTTCACCTTTCCTTGGTTCTCCAATTCTTTAAAAGTTGCACCATTCTTTCAATCACACAGAGATGTCCTGACAACACCATCAGTTGCTGGCTGAGTGAATTATTTGTATCATCTACTGCAGCATAGTAAATATAAGAATTACTGAGGGGAGTTGATAAAAGTGCAGTTGTCCAGCCTCTTCAGATCCAAGAATTCAGATCCAGTCACTCTATAGTAAAGACCCAGAATATGCATCTCTAACAAGCATTTTTAATGACTACCTATTCTTACCCAGTCTCCACTGATGTCATACTTCTAAATCTCTTAATACCTCCAGTTTGAGTACTTTTGTCTGTTAACTGACTTTTCCACTTCAACCACCTTCCAATTTCTACTAAATTAATTTCATCCAATTTCTACTAAATTAATTTCTTTGGGCATAGGGTCTGCTCACATTACTTCCCTGATTAAAAAAAATGTCCAAAGGGTCCCCTTGTCTATACAAAAAGTCCAAATACCTCTACCTGGCATTCACACCCCGTAATCATCCAGACCCAGCCTCCATGCACGTGAGTACAAAATAGTTACATAAATTATTACCAACCTTAATTCCCATTTGCCACACTTCTGTCACAATCTGTTTTACATGTATTGCAATGTCATGGAAATGACCACAACCATTTATCTATGGGTGATCTTTTAACAGCTTTATAGTTATAGTGTTTCTAAAGCTACTTCCTGCATATGAAGTACTGCCCAAACACTTTTACATCATTTTAATTTTTTTTAAAGTTTAAACAGAGAGATTCCATATACTCAGCAGTTCCACTAAGTACATGTCCAAGAAAAATAAAAATATGTCCACACAAAAATCTGTATACCAAAAAAAAATTAAAAAATCAAAAACGTGTATACAAATGTTTACAGCACCATTAATCACAAAAGCCAAACAGTGGAAACAACCCAAATGTCCATTAATGGATAAATGCATACATAAAATATGAACTATCCATATAATGAAATACCATTTTGACTATAAAAAAGGAGTGATTTATGAACACATGCTACAACATGGATAAACCTTGAAACATGCTCAGTGAAAGGTAGTCACAAAAACCACTTATTGTATGCCTCTATTTATGAAATGCCTAAAATCAACAGATAGAAAAATACATAGTAGTTGGCTGGGTAAACAGTTTGGGGAGAAATTAGTAAATGAGGGTGATAAAAATGTTACCTTGTGGTGATGGTTGCATGATTAAAGTTGTACACTTTTAATGAATTAGTTGAATACTATGTGGATGAACTTTCCATAAAACTATTATATTTTTTTAAGTAACAGCAGGAAATGAAACTAATCTTAACTGCAGCTGAAGTACCTTGGTACAAAACAGTAAACATCTTCAATGTCCCTTTTTATCACAAAAATAGGCATAATATAATACAGACTAGGGTGTTTTAATGTGAAACTGTTTTATACAACACTTTCCATACACAAAACAAAAACCTGTGTCTACCTTCTTGCATAAGGTACATATCCTTCTTCCCCAGATCTTTAGTGGTAAGGATGTATAATCTCAAACTATTAACAGAAGTTTTCTACCAAAACATCTTTCATTAGTAGTTCCTGCATCTATGTCTACATATTTTGTTTCACTCTAACAGGGAGTGTTATGCTATAAACGAAATATCAATGAGACGTTTTCTGGTAGGAGGAATCATTGACTGCTGTATTATAAACAACAGGGTAATGTCTATAATTTTTCAAACAAATAACCAGGGTAATTTCTGTAATTTTTCAAACAAACAATAACGACAACAAAAATTGCAAAGGGAAAGAACCTGTCCAGACCTGTCTGGACTACATCCAAAGAATCCAACGGTGGTTGGAAATATTCGGTAGTCTTCTCCAATGCAAGAGACAACCCACATTCTACCTCACCTACAAGGACTGTCTTACCTGGTGGAACACATGTCAGGCAACTCCCACTGGCTGTGCTAGCCCGTGTGAAGTTTGGAAAGTATAACAGTTCCAGGATATGGTGAAAGATTTTAGTAACCACCAGTATGCCATCTGCTCTGTAATACAGAAACCTCACTCTAGTCACTTCACAAATATTATTTAAATGAAAATCACATACAACTTTAAATCAGCATTATTGTGGAGGCACATCTATAACTTACATGGTTTCCTTTATATAAGGATTAACTTTTTTTGAAGACTCTAAGGAAAAACTGTAAGGATGTCCCTGGTCTTTAAAATCCTAGGATTCGAAATTACTCGCTAATTGCCTTGTATTTTAGTGTTAGTTAATATTGCTTTAAATTATGTTCCTTAAAATAGTTTGAAATAGCCTCTGAGGAAAAGAGAAAAAGAGTATTACATTAGCATTAATAGTAGAAAACCAACAGCTATCTTCTTACAGTGCTCAGCAGTTTTCAGGCGTGGGTCTACCAGAGCACCTGTTGGTTAAGCAAAACCCTTCTGGAATCAGACCTGCTATAAACCTGAATCTGCTTGTCATACGTGCACACTCTTGGACATGTCACTTCACTTTCCGAGTCTGACTGTCCTCATCGGTCTAAAGGGACGACAGTATCTTAAAGGGTTCCTGGACGAGTAAACGATGTCTTATTCGTAAAGTGCTTAAAACAGTGTCTGGTCTATTACAAACACTTAAACATTACCTTTATTATACGCTGCTTTGCGGTATGATTACAGTGCCATATATATTGAACAGAAACTAATACTCTTTCGTACTAGTCGACCGACGCCTTTAACAGCGCCCCAGCCCCCCGCCCCCCAGCTTCGCGTCGTTTTCACCCACGCCCACCTCCACCGGTCCGTACGGTTCAGCCAACTTCCCTGTCCCCAACCTCCGCACCGCGCCACCGCGCCTTGCCCAATCCACACCCACCTGCCCTAAACGTTCTTTCCAGCCCCCTCGCCGCCCTCCGCCCCTCACGGCGTCCCCCATCTCCCAGCCGGTCGGGTCCCTTAGCTGATGCCTCGGCACGTGGCGCAGGTGGGGGCAGGAGTTCTCGCCACTTCTATTTTCAAAGCCCCTCTGGGCTGGGGTGGGGGGGTGGCATTTGCCTCAGAACATCGGAACACGCGAAGCTTATACTCACCCGCTGCCACCGCCGCTTCTTTTCAGCGCGCGGAACTCGGCGCCCGCGGAACCCTGCGCCGGTGGGTTCTGGGGGCGTGGGAGACCTGAAGGGACCGGCGGAGGCCGAGCTCTCCCCAGGCGCGTGCGCACTATCGGGTGCCTGCGCCTCCGTTAATAGCCCCAACCTCTAGATCTGCGCTCCGGGACTTGCGCAGCTGCCTGGCGCGCGCCCCTGCGGAACCAGCTCAGAGCCCACGGGGACCCAGACGCTGGTGGAGACTGAGACATAGTTTCGGATTGGATGAACAAGTCAGCGGTGAATGTTAATCTCTTTCTGATTGGTTACATTCCAGTAGAGCGACCGCTGCCTTCTTGGGGTGGGATTGGATCTAGGAGCAAAGGTTCATTCTTCCTACCACGCCACTTTCGTGTCATTTTAGGGCTGAATGCCCTTCAGGGGACCTGAAGCCGAGCGAGTCCCGGAAAACTCTAAGCAGTTGCCAAGCCCACGGGTTACTGCTACTCCCACTTCACCTCGAGTTTATTGGCACCCGGCGGCTGAGGCTACTGGGAGGAAAATGACTTTCCTTCTAGGATGGCCCTACAGTTTAAGTCTAGAGCAGCCTTAACCAGTTCCACTGAGTTGGGATAAGTACAACGTGGTTCTCCCAAAATAGTATCTGCATGTTTTACTGGAGAAGTGACTGTCTTTACCCGCGAAGTTGAGTCCTAGGCATTTACCAGTAAGTTTACAAGAAACAATTCTTGCAATTGAGAACTAGTAGTGGGTACCTGCTGAAAATATGGGCACTTCTCTTGACAGATATATATATATGTGTGTGTGTGTGTGTGTGTGTGTGAGATTGTGCTCCTACTTTTAATTGGAAGCTTAGTCAGAGTCAAGTGTGATATTTAATAGTAGAAAGAGAAAATACCAAACAGAACACTTGTTAATTGGGCTATCCAGGCAGGCTTGGCAAGAGAGGATAGTGTCTTTTTTTTTTTTTTTTTCTGTTTTTAGCTGGAGTGCCAAGCACGGGAACGAACAGTCATAGAAAGATATTTACTAAATATTGATTTTAAAACAACCCGTCTGGATATTCTGGTTGCATTGTCAGATTTTAAAATACAAAATCCAAGAGATATTGTCTTTCCTGTTCACCACTATGTGTCCTGCAGGTGCTGAAAATATATACAACTAAATGAATTAAGAATATTAGTTATATGTAATAGTCTCAGGTTTTAAGGATTTAACAGACATAAACCCATACCTGAGTCAGTAACCTGAGTTAGTCCAGAAGTGGACCTTAATAATCTAAGCCTGAGGTTGACAACCCATTGGGTTGAATTTTAGAGTGTACTCATTGCCTAGACCGCAGAGATAATGGAGCTAATGACTGATGATCAGTTCAGAGCTTCATGAGTTAAAGCCAGTTTCAATGGCCTGTGTATTGATGAATTTGGGCATCTTAAATATTCGGGTTGTCAGAGCTGGAAAGGATGGCATATATATTCAGTCCCTAGAATCTGCCAGACATGAGTTTGAATACTCACTCGGTCATTTAGTAGCTGAGAAATCTTGGACTGGTGTTTCAACCTATTTGAGCCTCCATTTCTTCATCTGAAAAATGGGTCCATTTTCAGTATTCCCCTCTTAAGATTTTTTTTTTTTAGATTTATTTATTTGTGCATACAGAACTGGGGT